CTGTCTATCACCAGCCTTCAAATGACAGTTTTAACCAGATTCATAATTGTCTATTCTCTTGCTTATAAAATAGAATTATTTCACTTTCCAGACGTAGAAAATGTTAAATCTTTCTTGATATTTACCTTTAGTATTTCCATGACTTAACAATCATTGCTCCTTATAGTCATAAATTGTCTTCATGAAAATTTTTTTGTTCTTATTTAGACATAGAGGAACAATGCTCAGTATTTTTTCTCTGGAAATAAATTTTACAAATGAATACTAATCAAGTCATACCTTAGCCTTTTAAAACTAAAAATGCCAGTTCCCTTAGCTTGTCTCAAGGACCTAAATGAGATCTTTTTAGCTACTTTTTTATTCTTTGAACTCTCATCAATTTCTACACATCCTTTAAAAACGTGGTCCAAATCAGGAAATAATTTTCAAATGAAAGTATAATTAGGTCCGGGCGCGGTGACTCACGCTTGTAATCCCAGCACTTTGGGAAGCCCAGGTGGGTGGATCACTTGAGGTCAGGAGTTTGAGACCAGCCTGGCCAATATGGTGAAAACCCGTCTCTACTAAAAATACAAAAATTAGCCAAGCATAGTGATGCACGCCTGTAATACCAGCTATTCAGGAGGCTGAGGTAGGAGAATCGCTGGAACCCGGGAGGCAGAGGTTGCAGTGCCCCGAGATCACGCCTGGGCAACAAAGCCAGACTCCATCTCAAAAAATAAATAAATAAAAATAATATATTAAAAAAGTATAATTTATACATGAAACAGGAGGAATGGTTTCCTGCCTGTTTGGAATATTTCAGAAATCATAAAAACTCTCTTTCATCCACATTGGGGACCATTCGTGCAGTCTAGATAGACCCTCAAGTCTTTTTCTTCTGTGCTTTTTGCCTAGACATTCCTGCACAATTCTATATGTTATTGTTTATGCGTACACCTCACATTTGCTTCTTTAAGCCTCATTTTAAAAATATGATCATTATCGTAATTTAAATTTTAGTTTATTTTTCCGGTATAATAATCACCCCAATTTATTCAATGTCATTTGCAAATTGGTGCAGTATAGTTTTGAATTTTTTGAATAAACAGAAAATATGTTGATTATTATGGGTTCCAAGTCATTCCTCAACCTCCTCTTGGTAAGGCTGTGGAACAACTTGCTCATCAGTCTAAAAGTAGTATGACTGGGAAGATATTTTCCTCACTTATTAAAAAGATGAACATACGTGATGGAATCTAAAATCTATTCATCTGGATGAAAAAAATGGTAAAGAATAGTGAGAAAATCCTTTAAAAGAAAGAGTGATGGGGTAGGAGCTAATCTGCCTTTATAAATATTTAAAAATATTGGCTGGGGGCGGTGGCTCATGTCTGTAATCCCAGCACTTTGGGAGGTGGAGGCGGGGGGAATCACCTGATATCAGTCGTTCAAGACCAGCCTGGCCAACATGATGAAACCCTGTCTCTACAAAAATTAGTGGGGCGTGATGGCAGGCACCTGTAATCCCTACTTGGGGGGTGGAGGAGGAAGAATCGCTTGAACCCAAGAGGCGGAGGTTGCAGTGAGCGAAAGATCGCGCCATTGCACTCCAGCCTGAGTGACAGTGCGAGATACTATCTAAAAAACAAAAACAAAAACAAAACAAAACAAAAAAAACTTGCAAAACTATAGTAATTTCAGTGATACACTGTTAGCAACCAGATACACAATTTCTGAATGACTAAAATACCAGGTACAATGTGTTTGACATTTATCATCTATATAATTGAGTCTTCACAATTATTCTATTTGACACTGAGAAAATTGAGACTTAGAAAATATTACTAGCTCAGTGTGGTACATATTACTATTTGCTTACAGTTCTCCATTTTCTCTAAGTCCCTGACATGCCTTCCCCGTGGAGACAATGCACTTTCCTTTCCCATTCACTTAGGGTTGATTGTCTGATCTTCAGACCAATGCAGGGTGGATGGAAAAAACAATGTGTTGGAGTTGAGGTTTAAGAGTGTGGCAAGTTTCAGCCAGCCTTCTTGTACTCTTACCATCCATTTTAAGAAGAATTTGTTCCAAGGAGCTATTGCTATCACAGCCTGAAAAAAGAAATGTGTAGCAGTCCAATCTGACCTGTAGCTTGGAGCAAAGTCCATTTGTGTCCAGAAGAACATTGCAGTGTCACAGCTGACCCAGATACCCATGAAAGAGAAATAAATATTTGTTATTGTACGCCACTGAGATTTGGGGAAGTGTTTCTTAGCATTATTGCAGAAAAACCTGAACAATACCTCGGAATCACACAGCTAAAAAAGGTCAACGAAACAGAGACAAAAATCTGGAAATAGATAACAGCGTATCCAAGAATTTAGTCGAGAAAATATGGATTGCTCAAAAGTGGTGGGGGGATAATAACTAACCGCTTGGAAGAAATATTAAATCTCTAATGTATACTTAAAAAAAAGAAACTCTAAGTTTGTTAGAGATATAAATGAAAAATATGAAAAGATAAAGATAATATAATTAGAATAAAATACCGAATTTTTTCTTACTAATCTTGTAAAGAATGTCTAAGAGTGATACCAAAGTCATTAATTGGAATACATAAAAACTTTGAAGAAAATGGCATAAACAAGGTAAAAACACTAAAGACATACTAAAAAAAACACATCACAAACAAAAAATTAATATTTGTAATCCTTGAGAAGTGCTTACAAGTCAATAATAATAAGAGGTATACTCCAGAAGAACAACAAGAGTAACATAATAGGCCATAGACACATGGAAACAAGATAAACCTCATTACTAATCAAATTCTGGAAATTAAAAGAAACAATAAAATAAAAGTTCCCACTTATTGGAATGTAAATGATTTTAAAGATTATATTAACACCTAATATATTCTGAGACTTTGCAGAGTTTGAAAAGAAAAAAAAAAAAAAAAGCCTTGAGAGCAAAATGACTATGACCTCTTTTGGAGGACAGTTCAGCAATAACACATATTTTAAGAAAAAATATTTAATTTTAACATGAAAGTCTTAAAATTATGCAGACTCATTGAGTATTTCCATTTCTTAAGGAATAATCTTGTCAAATGTGAAAAGATGTATTATAATATTCAAAGTAAAAAAGTTGAAACTACGTAAATGTTAATCAACAGGAGATTGATCAAATAAATTATGAAACTTCCATAAAATAAAATATACATTTCAATGATAGTCATTAAGAATTATGAAGATCTGTATGGACATTAAAGACAGCAGTGATTATATATTAAGAGAAAAAAGGAGGCTATAAAACTGTATGTACAGTGTGATCTCATTGTTATAAATATGTGAAATATATGTTAATATAATTCTTGAGGAATAGGCAAAATATTATTTATGAGTTTTTTTCTGGATGATGGGTTTATGGTTGATCTTCATACAAGAAAATACTTTTTGTCAATAGTATTGAATGCTTTCTACAATAATATATAGTCAGAAATAAAAGCAAAACACTTTCTCTTAGAAATGAAAAATATACATACAAGCAATATCTTCTGCAAATATGGAAAAAGTCTATAGAACTCAAAATGGGTGATATCTATTGTTTGCTCCTTATCTAGGTTCTCATAAATTATTCATGGGAATCCTATCTTACTAATAATTATTTTTTGTTCATTACTCCTTTGCGTTTCTTTTCAGAGTGACAGGTATTATACTCTGCAGTCATTTATATTATATTCTTTATAATAGATATTTCTTAAGCCATGTTTACATGATTTTAAAAAATCACATAAATAAAAAACAGTTACATTGGCTAAATTAGAGTATTTCTACACAAACCAATAATTTTAGCTTGAACTTGAACTGACCAACTTGAATGGACCAATTACTTTAGGATTTTTTTAACATTCAAATCAAGAAAATTATAAAAATCAAGTTTCATTCAGTTATTTAGAGGAAAAAATAATTACAAAAAAGTCTTCAATGAGACGAATTAATTTTACAAAGAATAGCAATTAGGCAATTGATATAATATTATATATATCTCTATCAATCTATAGATAGAGATACAGATATAAAAAACCCAGGGATAAACTAATAAACTACAGAACTTGTATAGGACCCATATGAAGAAATTTCAGAATTTTCAAAGGATCATTAAAATTTTTGAAAACTATTTCTATATGAGTAAATGGCAATATTTTAAAGCCATCCCATCATTTATAAATTTAATGTAATTCAGCTTAGGATTTCCAATAAATTTTTTAAATTAACTATGACATTAGATTTCTTTTAATTGGGCAGCCCCTGAATCAGAATAGGTCTAGAGAGAGTCCTAAAATTTTTTTATTATGAAAATAACATGGGCTTCTCCCGAAAAATTCAGGCCATACAGAAGGTGTTAAATGAAAAATATTGTCCTTGGCCTACATCCTAACTCCTCAATCCAACTCCCCAGAGGTAAATCATTGTAAAGAGCTTTAAAAAAAATTGTGGTAGGGCGAGGTGAGATGGCTCACTCTTGTAATCCCAGCACTTTGGGAGGTCGAGGCGGGCAGATCACAAGGTCAGGGGTTCAAGACCAGCTTGACCAACATGGTGAAACCCCGTTTCTACTAAAAATAAAAAAATTAGCCAGGCATGGTGGCACGTGCATGTAATCCCAGCTACTCTGGAGGCTGAGACAGGAGAATCGCTTGAACCCAGGAGGCAGAGGTTGCAGTGAGCCAAGATCATGCCACTGCACTCCAGCCTGGGCGATAGAGCAAGACTCCATTTCAAAAAAAAAAAAAAAAAAAAAAATTGTGGTAAATAAAACTTATCGTTTTAACCATTTTTAAGTGTACAGTTCAGTAGCATTAGGTACATTCACATTGTTGTGCAACCATCACCACCATCCATCTCCAGACTGTTTCCATCTTACAAAACTGAGACTCCTCTGTACACCTTTAACAACAACCCCCATTGTCCCCTTCCCTCAGCTCCTGGCAACCACCATTCTACTTGATGTCTCTATGAATCTGACTACTCTAGGTACCTCAGATGAGCGGAATTATGCAGTATTTGTCCTTTTGTGTGTAAGTAGCTTCTAAATAATCTTTTTCAAAGACATTTACCAAAATTTTATGACTAATGCTTGTTCATGGTAGAAAATCCAAACTACCTAAGAAGATTCTTTATAATAAAGAGCAAAATTTCCTCTTCTCCACAATATCCGTTCCCACTAACCAAAGCTAACAATTGTTAATACTTTTTTTGGCCAATCTTCTAGAATGTTTATATGTATCAATAAGGAACAACCTCACATACACACGGGCTTGCACATACACTTCTAGGCTTTTTCTGACTTTTAAAATTTCAAGCAGGCTAATATATATATTGTTGTACAATTTGCTTTCTTCACTTAATGTATCTTGAGTATTTTTTCACAGCAATACATATGTTCTTAAGTGAATCTTTTTTTAACTTAATAATGTAATTCAGAATAATATGAATGAATAAATAGTCAAGAATGACAAAGAAAATTTTGGAAAGGAAAACTGCAGAAGAACTTGCAATACCAGATATAAGACTGTATTATTTAAATATTGTGATAAAGGTAGAAGAATAGAGAAATCAGTGGAGTGGAAATTAATCTCAAGAGAGGACCCTAGAAGATAAAAGCTTTCAGCTAAATTCAAAAATCTTAAAATCAGTAGGAAAAAAATATATTATTCAATAAACTTTCAGGGACAATTGCTTAAGAGTTAAAAAAAAAAAGATCCAATCCTCTCCTCACATGATAAACCAAAATAAATTGCAGACATATTAAAGCATTAAATGCATAAAATAAAAACAAAAAAATCATCAAATATATAGGAGAAAACAAAAGTGAATATTTTAGTACGTGGTCATGCATGCCTGTAGTCCCAGCTCCTCTGAAGGCTGAGGCTGGAGGATCACTTGAGCCCAAGAGGTCGAGGCTCCAGTAAGCCATGATCGTCCGACTGCACTCCAGCCTGGGCAACAGAGCAAGATCCTGTCTGAATAAAAAAATAAAGAAGTAAATAAAAAATAATAAAAGTGAATATTTATCTAACCTTTTGTGAGGAAGATGTTCCTTTTTTTCTTCAGAGATGGAGTCTTACTCTGTCGCCTAGGCTGGAGTGCAGTGGTGCAATCTCAGCTCACTGTAGCCTCCGCCTCCTGATTTCAAGTGATTCTCCTGCCTCAGCTTCCTAAGTAGCTGAGACTATAGGCATGTGCCACCACGTCTGGCTAATTTTTGTATGTTTTAATAGAGACAGGGTTTCACCATGCTGGCCAGGCTGGTCTTGAACTCCTGACCTCATGATCCACCCACCTCAGCCTCCCAAAGTGCTGGGATTACAGGTGTGAGCCACCGCGCCCGGCCATGAGGAAGATTTTCTACAAGTAAAGGTAGAAATGTTAATGAAGACACTTGAGATATTGACAATTTAAAAGTGAAAAAGTCAGTAACAAAATGATACAGTTTAGCTTAGAAAGATCCTTGAAAAATGTATGACATAGTATTACTATGGTAACTTTACATAAATAACTTTCTTTATAAAAAATAAAAAAATACAAACACCCCAACAGAAAAAATGGATGTCATATAGGAATAAGTATACTATAAAGCAATATTATAAATGGCAAATAATATATGAAATTTAAAATTTTTCAAGTAAGCAAAATAACTAAAAGTAAAAGAACAATAATTTTTTCAAACATCAAATTAGATATCATTAAAAACCTGATAACATTTAGTGTTGGTGAAGATAAAGATAAACAGACATTCTCATGTACTTCTATTTTGGAAGGCATTTTAGCCTACGTATCAAAATTTATAAAAAAATCCTTTTTGACCCTAAAATTCCCCTTTTAGAAATTTATCTGGAGGAAGTAATTATAAATGTGTGCAAATATTTGTCTACAGAGATGTTCACATAGCATTGTTTATGATATAGAAAAATTAACAATTATTGGCTGGGCATGGTGGCTCATGCCTGCAATCCCAGCAGTTTGGGAGGCCTAGGCGGGTGGATCATTTGAGGTCAAGAGTTCGAGACCACCCTGGCCAACACAGTGAAACCCCATCTCTACTAAAATAAACAAAAATTAGCTGGGCATGGTGACACATGCCTGTAGTCCCAGCTACTCAGGAGGCCGAGGCAGAATTGCTTGAATTCAGGAGGTGGAAGCTGCAGTGAGATGAGATTGCACCACTGCACTCCATCCTGGGAGACAGAGTGAGACTCCATCTCAAAAAAAGGAAAATTAGCAATTACCAAATACATAGTGTTAGAGAACTTGTTAGACAAACTATGGTGCATTTATACTATGGAATACTATAGTAAGTATTTAATTGACATGGGAAAATGTGATATATTTTAAGGGAAGTGTCATTTATAAATGAGTAATGTCATATATGCTAATTATTTTTAATACATACTAGTGCATAAAAATATGTATAAGAAGCCAGGCACAGTGGCTCACGCCTGTAATCCCAACACTTTGGGAGGCCGAGACAGGCAGATCACGAGGTCAGGAGATTGAGATCATCCTTGCTAACACAGTGAAATCCTGTCTCTACTAAAAATACAAAAAGTTAGCCACGCGGCTGTACACAATGAACATGTATTACTTTTGTAATTGGAAATAATGTTATAAAAATGAAATACTTTTAAAAAGCACTTATGATACAGATATTGTTATTTATGTTTTTCCTCAAGTGATTGGTTGCTCTGCCTTATTTTAGCCAAGTTCCAGGTAAGCTTCTGGGCACTTTGTTGAAAAACTAAATCAAGTAAATCATTAGACTAAAATTATACATTGATTTTGCAAAAATAGCAACATTTTGCTAGACAAAGTCACAGAGCTAAAATATATATTTTCATTTTTAACAATGAAATATGACTATTATAATTAAAAGAATTCAGTTTGCATTATATGCCCTTAAATAAAGATTAAATGAACCCCCGACACACCAAATTATTATGTAATCCAGTTTAATTTTTTAACTAATGGGAACACAAATTAGTATAATTTTATAATTCAATACTCAGCAATAGATCATTTTTTAAAATAGAAGAAACTAAACATTTTTCCACATACCACCCTTAGGGAACAAGGCATATCATAAGATATGACAAATAAGCTTCTAGGAAAAGTCTTCATTTGTTCTTTCCAGGAAATGTGAATTTGCTAATTTGGTGACAAATATATGTATACATATTATATGTAATAAAATTATACTGAAAATAAAATCAATGAACTATTGACATTTTAAGTGCAAAGCATCTGGTTAAAACTGCCTACTCTTGCTCATATATCCTTTTTTATTGCTATTTATATTAGCAAAATGAACTTGACATAATGCCTCAAATAGTTAATGAATACAAAGCTCTAAAACAGAAAATATGTATTGTACATGATCTTTTGGAATCTGATTTCAGGTACAACTAATTTGACAGGCAGTATGATAAGGAACAATCTGAATGACATGTAAACAGGAGGGGGTAAATTCCAAGCACAGCCTGAATAAGAAGTACAACTCATTTCCCGTAACCCAGATGCCTTTTTAACACATCTATGTGAAACCAGGTGCTGTTCCCAAAGGAGAAAACACTGCCCTCCAGTGGTCTTCAATGAAGAAATGGAAATAGTTTCAGGTACCATGATAGCAGCATTTACATGAAACATGGTATATTTATCTAGTCTCATTTTTGGCTGTATTTCTTAAGCTGAAACATGTCTACAGCTGAGCATAAGGACAAAATTTCCAAGATAAATTCTAATAGGTAGGTGGTTACTCCAGTTAGATAGACATATTAACAAGGAGGATTATGACTTTCTGACCCCAAAAGCTGACCATTTTTTCGACTTTCAAAATTGGATTATGTTAGTCACCTATAGTTTCTCACTTTCTAGATAAGAAATAAGAGATTTCATCTCTATGTTTCCCTTGTTGGCCAATTTTTTAGCTAAAAGACATTTAAAATTGTACAGCAGGCAGAACCCCAGGGGACTGAACAGTGTTCCAACATCCTTAAAGGCTTCCCATCACTTGAAAAACCAAATTCTTCCTCCTGTTTCTTAAACTAACCAAAGTAGGCAAAAGCAATTTTTAAAAGTCTTTGTGTCTAGCATTGGAACTTTCTCATATTTCACACCATTATATAAATGTCACTCTAACCTATATGTATCACAAATGCTACGCTAAATTAGGGCCAAATTTGCAACCTAGTTTAACTGGGTTTCCTCTTTTTGCAAATGCAGTTTTTGTGTCTGCATTTAGCAATGCATACAAAACTGTCCGTGTAGCTAACTGCTTCAAATTGCTAAATTTGAGGATGGATGTGTAGATCTCCCAGTCTTTATGTATGTGCCAAAGCAATCCTGTTTCTAGTCATATAAAGACTTCCTAATCAAATGGACCTGACTACATTGCTAAATTCTTGGACCACTTCACTTACTCTTGGATTTAGTAAAGGAAAAACTGAATTTTAAGAGAGGAAAGAGACAGTTTTCAATCCTCCTCCATGTCTCTGTCCTTCAGAAACCAGAATGGAACCACATCACATGATCAGATGGACTCTAGAGTCCCACAGCTATAAAACCTCATCCATTACAAGCTATGTGACTTAACTTAGCCTCATTTTTCTCATCAGCAAAACAAAATCATGTTGGGTTCATTAGGTGATTATTAACGATTGAATGAGGGAAAGTATGTGAAGTGTCTAGCACAGAGAAAGGGCTTCACCAAGACGCTATGATTATTCTATCACCATCACTTCTTAGACTATTAATCCAATGGTCAAGTAAATTTTTCTAGAGATATGACCTTCTAAAATTTATTCCCATTTATCATCTTAAATAATGTTCATCATTCAGTTTATTATATAGAAAATGTCCTGAGTCCTCCAGATAAATTCTTTAAAACAAATGCCTTGTGCTAAGAGAAAATATTTTAACATCACATTCCTCAAATATAGCACCTTTGAGTATGAATCAAGTTTTTCTTCTTTTCACTCCCACAGAAGATGGTATCCATTATATAATCACCTGGATTCACAAAGAGCTTTAGGACGTAAAAAATGACAAACATCAAAATTGTAATCATTGCAAGGGTGGTATAGTAATTAGACGTATTTGGGGATATTGTAGTAAATTTAGAAGTTTCTGAGCTTGAGAAAATAAAATTCCACAACTATACTTGCTCTAGTTATTTAACTCAACTTACTGTACATTTCAGAGAGAAAAATTACTTTCTTTAGGAGATTAATGCACTATTCTTTGAGATGAAGAAAAACCTACACATTTTAACAAAACATTGTTCTTGTCACTAGCTGTGGTAAGGAGTTTTTACTGAGCCATGGTAGCACACCTTTATCTCCTACCTCTGTGTACGCTTGCAGCATTATAACACATAGTTTTATCTGGGTAAATTCACTGAGTATGGTCTTCACTGATTATGACATCTCATCAATAATCTCATTATGATACTTTATGTCATACAACATAGAATCTTTGATTACTCAAAATATTTCTTATAACTCAGAATCAAACTGTTTATGATTTAAAACAGAATATACTGATGAATAGAGAGTGCAACAGTGATTTGATAAATGTTTGATAATTTATCAAACTCTTAGAAAATTTTGGGACAAAGTACCATTTAAAGATAAAGCAAATAAGTACAGCTAAATATTGCAATAGTATATATGTGTTACACTGAAGCCTGTGTACAAGCATTAACTATGTACCAATAAATGCAAAGAAAATAAACTTAGGTTATAGCTTATCTAAATTAATCTCAAAATTTGACAATTAAACATATGAATTTGTAATAAACATTCTGAATTTTTTAAAAATTCATCATATTTGTAACAGTGCCAAAATAATCTAAAATCAGAATGCTTTCTGAGTATAATTATATTATTATAATTCTCTACCTTGACAGATGACAATTTTAGAACACCCTAAATACAATTTCTAGTATATGCACTAAAATAAAATGTAACAGATAGACAACTCACCATAGTATAAGTAACACATTCAAATTTAGTAATTTATTTTCCAGGTGGAAACCAGGCTTCTTGGAAGACTTCAAACTATGCCAAATGGTCTGATTTCACCATAGAGGTAGGCACTAGAGGACTAAATTTACTTCTGTGTAATTTTTGTTAGCTACATTTTACATGCAAATGTCTATACAACCATGTTAATGAAGTTATAGAGAAGAAAAGAAAGTTGGCATTCCCACTTTTGTTTTATTCCAAAGCAACTTTTCAGTTGACTTGCTATCATTTTAAACCATTGTTATTTAATCATAATAAAACAGAAAATCTAACAATGCATTCGAATTGGATTGCAAGTCAAGAAAAACAGTATCTTACTTCTAAATAAAATTTAGATTTGCGATTTTTTTCCCTCATAACTTTATGGTGTTCATAACATAGGATGCTTCTAGTGGAATCAGACAAAAAAAGTTTTGTTAATAATAAATATTTAGAAAAGTTCAATTTTTCTGATCCAGTGTTGGTTATTTAGAGGAAAGTTTCTTTTTCCTTCTTATCAAGGGGCTCAAAATTTTCTGCACCCCAAATGGAATTGGGTGCTTAATTGATGGTTATCTAAAATCTTTTTTCCAAGAAATATAAGCAAATATATTAAAATTTGATATGGGTAAATTTCCTATAAAAATGTTGATATTTAAGCTTCAAAGCCCATATTGGCAATGAAAAGTGTACAGTATCCTTTTAGGTAGACCATTAATAATCTAAAATTTCTCTCATTATAAGGGAAATGTGCCTAGGGTACATGAAAAATAATGGTTTAAACTAAAGACACAGTTGATTTGCAATAAAACTGAAAGTAATATCTCTAGAAGTGGAGGTGATAAAAGGAGAAAGAGACAGAAATAATGGTTGCAACTCTGCATTTATGGTATAGGTTACAGCCAAGACTAGATACAATCTCATCTCATAACATCCAAAAGAATAAAGCAAAGTAAAATCTCCTTCACCCTCACACATTAAAAGGAATCAACATCTTGACCCAAAGCTCAAACTCCTAGAACTTGGAAATATCTGTAAAACCCCCAACACCAAGGTTTCTGTAACCTGTCATATCAGAGAAATAGGGAGATCTTCCACCATGGAAATATGACTATTAAGAATTCACAGATTACCTGAAACATTTGCTAATCACCCCCCATTCCTAACATCACCTTCTCCAAGGGAAAAAGAAAATGGGAGTGACAGAGGAAGACTCAAAACATTGGGAAAAGCCTGCTATGAAAATGCCAGGCCTTTCTTGGGGCTTAGACCATCAACCTAATCCTAGCCAGAACTATCGTAGGACTATATCAGGGCAACAGAGTACTTTGTGTGTGTGAATTGGGGTAGGAGGACCAGGATGTTAAGAAATCTAACAAATTCATAGATTTTTAAAAAACATTTGAGAGTGTTGTGTTTATACATGCTGGGCAACATAAACCATAAACCTTGCTGGATTTCTGCAAACTGCTGCGTGGAGGATACAAACGACATTCCTGTCAATGGGAGGAAGAGACAGACAGAAATCAAGACAGAGATAGGCAGCACCCCCAGGATGTGAAGCTTGTTCCAACTGCAAGCTGTAGTGGAAGGAGATGATGACACCCAGAACAAAATGTCTTTTTCACGAGGATGCTAAAGCTCTTGCTTTGTGATCTCTGTTTACAGAAGGAATGATCCATGCAAAGGACTGAATTTCTCCATTTTCTGGAATCAAAATATAAGGGCTTTTTAGTTACTTTAAAGTTCTTCCTGTAGAGTGTATTGTTGTGTTCCATGAAACAGACAAAACTCAGCAAGACAACAAAGACTTGAACTGCAGGAGAGAAGGTATTAAAGAGCAAGTCCTCTCCAGAGGGTAATTAATCCTTAGTCATTCATCTTAGAAGTCCCAGTTACAGTTAAGGTTAATGTTCAGGTAGCTTCTTTCTATTTTCTTTAAAAATTTTTTTAAACATTTTTTTTTTTTTTTTTTTTTTTACAGAATGTTATACTATTAATTGCCAATTTGCATATGTGTGCAGCTGCTGTTTTGGCTCTGAACTCAATCCGATAAGCTTGCTGGAGGTATCGCAGAGCACTTGGCAGCTTTCCTATTTGAAAAGAAAGCCTCTCCCCTCTACAGAACAGCTGATCGTCTATCAGCGATAGACCCTGATGGCGTGAATTACAATTACACTACTTTTCACACTAAATCTGGGTGATAGCTACTTGGAAAGAAGTTTCATCATTTTTTACCACAAACTGGAAAAAGAATTACATGGTCATGCTGTGCTTTTAAAGGCAGTTTGGTTCACTTTTGTCTATTTAACACCTAATTCCAAGAAGTCCATAGGCATCCAGAGATCTGAATGGCGCGTAATGAATTCACTGTTTAGATTGAAGATTTTAAAAATCTACCTCAAATTACATTTATTAACAGGGCGACCAGGAAGTGTTAAAGTTGTTAGACGCTTCATTTATTAAATAATTTGTGGGTATTTTCAGTTGTCATATCTAGAGTCATGGGGTTTGCTTATTTTTTTTAATTAGCAATCCAAAACAATGCTACTGCAATTTAACAATTCATCACATAATCTTGGGCTCTTCAGTTCAGCTGCTAATGTTAGATAATTCAGATTGTTATTTTGATCTGTTTATAAATGATTTTGGTTGCAATGTGCTGTGAGGAGAACTGCAGCCCAGGCAGATGATCTTTCTCTTATTTCCTGCATTGCTCAGGATGGTTGAGGGGCCCTCCAAAAAATGCATTTGAGGAGTTAAGTTTAGCATCTAGCAAAAGCAAATGAGTGATGGGGCAGGGGGCACTAATAATAACTTGTTTTATTATCATCACTTATTTAACGTCATTATTAATTTACATTTCCTGTCTGTTCGGAAAACTGAGGGAGGGTCTCTTTGCCAAACTACATTTTGTTGGAATTCTCCATTTCTCTGATTTTCTGGGACGTTAGAAAGTACCGTCTTCCCTCTTCCTGAAAGAATCGGCCAACCATCAGAAAATTTAAGAGACTCCTAAACATCCCTTTTCTTTCCTCTTTCTTTCCTCAGCCCTCTTCCCCTCCCATCTTGACATTTAAATCAATTTGTTGGGGGGGGAGGGGGGAAGAACAAGAGTTAAACCCACCTCAGGCAGCAGAAGTGGAACACATTAATCCTGACGTAGTTAACCTAAGAGAAAAATAGATTTTGTTTTCCTTTTTTAGTCGCTAGCTTTATTAGATTTCTCACTCTCACAGATTATCCGAAGACTACCCATTGATTGATCGCCCGTAGAGCTGCATTTGGTGTAAAGAAAAAACTCACAGCTTTATTGGCTCTCAGGAGACAAAACAAACAGAACAAGATATTCATATTAATGCAAACAATGCAACAAATGAGGGGAAGAATCGCCCGGCTGAAGCGAGGCCCGGCGCGCCCACGGCCGGGGGGCTGATAAGGGCCTGGGTGCCTCTCGCCCGGAAGCCGAGGTTTCCCGGCCTCCCCCCACCCCGGGCGCCGAGAGCAGTCGGTCCCCCCGGCCTCCCGCCGGCAAAGGGGCCCTGGGGCCCAGGCGCGCGGCCCCAGCGTGGCGGCAGGCGGCCCAGGCCATCGCCGGCGCCTGGAGGAGGCCTCCAGTCCAGGCCTCAGGGAAGGGCCTGCCTCGCTCGGCCCCTCAACACTCCGCCGTGTGGCACTGGAAGGGACCTAAAAGCCCTCCTGGCTTTCTCCTTTCCTCTTCCCCTCGCTTCCCAGGGGCCCAAGGCCGGCATCTCAGTTTCCCTTTCCGGCAGGGTCAGGGGTGAGAGGGAGGAATTCTTAGGTGTCACCTCCTCACCCGCCTGGAGGCGGCGGCTAGAGAGACGCCGGGGCACCCTGAAGGGGAGGAAGCGGTGTGCCACGAATTCTCTCTCTTAGGAGACTTTATAAACACTTTAAACACAACACCAACCATTTTATCAGCAAAAGCGAGGGGAGGGGGGCGTACAGTAAATGCTGAGAGATGTTCAAGAAGCCCCGAGACCTTCCCTGCGGAAGGAGAACGGAAGAAAGAAAATTCCGGACGGAAAAAGAGTAAATATTAACTCCACACCTAACCACTTCCCCAGCCCCAAACTAGGAGAGAATCTGCTAAGATTCAACTCCATATCTAGATCGTCAATGTGATGTTAAAAATAGGGTTGCCAAATATTGCATGGGGCATTCTTAGAGTAAAAAAATGGTTATCTACCTGAAATTCAAAAAATTTAACTGGGCATCCTGTATTTTTATTGGCTAAATCTGTCTATTCTAACTAAAAAATATTCTGCTGAAGAAACCATACAAGAAGGAAGGCTCATTGTCTGATGTAATGAGGTTATTGGGGACATGTTTAATGGAACCTTGCCTGGAAAAAGAAATTGAGTTTCTCCTACAGCATACTTTTGTAAGCACATGGTAGGGTGGAGGAGGAAGAAATGACTGAAGCGACTTGGAAATGTCCTTACATTATATTTGAGGAGGAACGGGCAGTCATTGTTGCCACTTCACTAGGAAATGGAGCCGGGTTCCTTTCCTAAGGTTGGCAGACTGGGTCTGGCCCACAGAAACCCTCCATCCCTGGCCGATAGAGCGTACCCTAGCATGTCTGCAAGTGGAATGTCAGTTACAGTGGTTCCCATGCCGGCATTAGTGCGTATATTTTTCCTAAACCTTGACTATGGAGCCACGTTACCTATTGGTATTTAGTTTATTTTGGAAAAAAAGAGCTGCGAACTTTAAAGGCAAAGTCTGCTTTGAAATGTATGAAAGGCTTTAACTTAGAAATAGATCTCATGAAATAGGGTCTTGCAGATGCTGAAAGAAAAGGCTTTTGCAATGTCAATAGTAAAACCTCAGGAAAAACGCAACAAAACAGTGGGTCTTTGCATATTGAAGTGTGTGTGAGAGGGTGAGGAGTCAGAAAGCTGCCTTTCTGGAGGAAGCCTGCTGCTTGCATTGCTTCCCCAGCCCCAGTCAGAGAGAGCTTTTTCAAGCAAGCTTTATCACCCTTACTGCTACTTTGGATCCCCAGTGAGCTAGCCTGGCTTTTAAGCCAGTTGCTTGAAGTGGTCTGAATACACCCAC